TACCCAATTGCCAAAGATGTGAGATGGGAACCACAGGTAGCAAAAGCTTTTCGTCTGCCTGTGGCCGTTGGGATTCGGAGAATAGAGAAGAAGATGCTCACATATGACAACATCGTTAGGCATAATCAGCTCAGCACTATGGTTGAGATCAAAATGGAATCCACCCTTCTAACCCCACTGGTGTCAGTGCAGGAGAGTTGAAAAACGGGTTCCTTGTCACAAAAGAAATGGTTGATCACATTTGGCCCACAGAATCTCAGCTTCAAAAACAGGAGCATCCGTAAACTTATAGCTGTGAAACTTCCCACCCATGAGCCAAGCACTAGTTGGATGCAGAGTCTCTGATTCATGATGGTGGCGTATTGCAAAGGGCGGCAGATGGCAGCATAGCGATCAAAGGACATGACCACTAGGAGAGCTGACTCTGTACCACCTAAGGCAAAATAGAAGAAGGACTGGGCCATGCAGCCGTGGAATGAAATGGTTCTGCTAACTGAGAGAAAGTTCAGCATCAGCTTAGGAATTGTGACCGAGGTGAACAAGATTTCGAGGAAGGACAAATTGGCGATGAAAAAGTACATGGGAGAGTGGAGTCGATGATCCACCCACACTATGAAAATGATGACCACGTTGCCCGTTACTGTGATCAGGTAGGTGAGGAGAAGAACCAGGAAGAGGAATATCTTCAGTTGCTCTCTAAGGCTGGAAAATCCCACGAGGATGTACACAGACACCACCGTTTTGTTTCTTTCCTCCATGTCTAACATCAGCGTTGTCTGTGGAAAGAGTTACAGTGAAAATAAGAGCATGGTATCCAGGAGTCCAAGTCTCAGTGTCTCTGAGCACCCAGCAGCACATGTTCTTTTATGTTTTTGTCTTGCCACATAATTCCACCAGGAATTCATGGATTCCTGGGACAGCAGGGACCTTTGTGATCACCTCATCTGACTGCCTCTATAACTCCTGCCATTCAACTCGCCCCCCCCCCAAATGCCTTTTAACTAGAGCCTATCTTGTGGGGAAACATCCCATCTTCATTTAAATGTTGCCAATGATGGAGAATCCACCACAGCCCTTGGCGAGTTGTTCAAATGGTTATTTCCTCTCACTATTAAAAAAAGTGCATCTTAGGTCCAATCTGAATCTTTCTATCTTTCTATCTTTCACTTCCAGACGTTTGGTATTGTTATACATTTTTCTGATTGATTGAAATATTTGTTCTCCAGGTAGCTACTTATAGACTGTGAACAAGTTACATTTTAAATTTCTCTTTGCTAAAGTAATTGTATTGAGTTCCTTCTGTCTGTCACAATACATAATGTTTTCCAAAGCTTTTATCGTTCTCCTGGCTCATCTCTGAACCCTTGCCCATTTATCAGCATCCTTCCTCAACTGAGAACACTAGAATATAAATATATATATATATATATATGGAGATATACCTATCTCATAGATCTGGAAGGGACTCTGAAAGTTCATCAAGTCCAGCTCCCTGCCTTCACTAGCAGGACCAAGTACTGATTTTGCCCCAGAGCCCCAAGTGGCCCCCTCAAGGATTGAACTCACAACCCTGGTTTAGCAGGCCAGTGTTCAAACCACTGAGCTATCCCTCCCCCAGAATTGGGCAGAGGATTCCAGCAGCTGTTTCATCAGTGGCAAATACAAAGGAAAAATAACCCCTGGAGGTTCTCAAGGTTTCCCTGTTTTCACACCCAAGGATTGCATTAGACTTTTTGGCCACATCACCTTGCTGGAAGCTGATATGCAACTGATTATTCAGAATGACTCTGGGTCTTTTTCAGAGTCAATTTTCCTAAAGACATCCCATATCCATGTCTCATACATTGCAATTTCGAATTAACATAATCCCATCTGCACACTTATGGCTGACCTGGAGCAATGTCTTTCTGGTGAACCATCAATCAAAGTAAAAATGTTCACAATCCCATTCCATTAAGTATAAAGAGTAAAAGTGCTGTCAATGATAACAATGATAACCCTACTGAATTCAACTACCACATCTGATCTCAGTAACTTTGAAAGTTTTCACCACTCCAAGTTTATCCTGGAAATTTAATTTTCTTTGCTGAGAATTATAATAAAAAATTCAATGCTTCATAAGCTCTCTGTTGCCTTGCATGGCACCACCCCCAGAGGACAAGACTCATCAATTGAGAAACGCAGATCTATTCTGCTCTCAGCATCACATACGTCATAGAACTGTATCTAGTCATTTCTCCATTCAGCCCACAATTTGAGGTTAAATAGAGGATATCTTTCAGAAAGACCTTTAAACTCAATTTAAAGACTTCAAGTAACAGAATATCCACCACATCCTTACCTAAATTATCCCAATAGTTAATAATTCTCACCCTTAAAAATGTGCATCTTACTCCCAGTTTGAATTTGTCTATCTTCAGCTTCTGCCTCACTAAAAAGTCATCACCTGTCAGAAATCTCTTCTCCATGGAGGCAATTGAACCCATGATCAAGACATCTCCGAACCTTTTCTTCAATAAGGTCAATAGATTGAATTTCACTACTATAATCTATAGTTCACCTTGCTACATTCTTCTTTTATAGCCCTTTGCTACCACAGTGACATGAGAAATGCAGTAGCTGAAGACTGACAAACAAACCTTATAGTGATTGACTCGAGGAGCTCACTGTACCTACCTTTAAAGAAGAGACGTTTAAGGGATGATTTGGTACAGTCCGGAGTACCTATTTTGCGAGTAAACGGGCTCATCCACCTAGCAGAGTCAGGCATAACAAGACCCATTGGCTGAAAGTAGAAGCTAGAAGAATTTGAGACTGGAAATAAGGAGTACATTTTAAAGACTGAAGATAATTAAGAGTAGGAAGAACTTACTGAGGGTTGTGATGGAGTATCCATCACTGACAATTTTTAAATCAAGATTTTTTTTTCTAAACGATCTGCTCTAGGAATTTTTACTGGGAAGTTCCATGGCCTGTGTCATAGAGAAGGACAGACCAGATAATCACAATGGGACTTTCTGGCCTTCTAAGCTATGAATTTATGTCCCATGGGACAAGCATAGAAACAGCCATACCATGCTTTCATATCTTTCCCTTTCCAGACCAGCCCGAGCAATGCATGCAGTCATTCAGAAATGAAAAAGAAAATACATCTCTCTTTCTCGGAGTTTTTCTCTGTCTCTGTTGCTCTCTCATCATCTCTCCTTCTCTGTGCAGCTGAGGAAAAGTCTTTGCCTTCAGCCACTCTATAAATAAGATTTTGAAAGTGCTTTGATTTCATTTGAAAATTTACAACACCAATGGGAAATTACCAGAGGCAAGAAATCTCCTAGGACAACCTGAGATGCGTGCTCAAACTGAACACAAAAATGGTCATCTTTAAGGCTAAGTTTTTCAAAAAGCTTAAGGGAGTGAGGTGCAGAGCTCCCATGATCTTTCCATGGGATTTAGGTGCTCAAATCTCTTAGGAATCTTTGAAAATCCCACCATAAACAGATAAAGCAGAACTGGATGATTCATTCAGCTTTTTGAGTTTCACATATTTTGATTTTTTTTTTCAATTATAGTTTCCATCAAAGTTTGGATTAATGCTGTGAAAGGCAATGGAAAATATCACTCTTAACCACTCATAAAGTTCTTTAACCCTTTTGCAAATCTTTCTATTGATCATGTTCTAAAATAAAGATTGTAGGTGGAATGGCAAAGTAGTGTTTGTTTGAGAGTATAACAGTGTGGTTAGCTAGCACTTAAAAATGAAAAATAGGTTCATGTTGAACGAAAAATTAATGAAAAAAAGGTTTGGTGAAAGCAAAATATAAAAAATAGTATGCATTACTTTTGGGTCAAGGATAAAATTGAAATGTATAGTTTTTAACTGTGACTGTTAAAATGTTTTCTATTTTTTTAAAATAAGAGTAAAGGATATTTTGAAACAAATTGTTGCTTTGCGCTCAAAAACTGAAACATTTAATGTGGAAAATGCAGCAATGAAACATTTTGATTTTTTCCAAAAAATATTGGCAAATACACGTCAATGAAACCAACATGAATTTTCAAAACCTGTAAGTTTGTTCTCCATGTTCATAGAAGGAGGGCGTGAAGTAATGGGCTTAATCTGGAGCGAGGGAGATTTAGGTTAGATATTAGGAAAAATTCTGACTGCAAGCGTAGTTCAGCACAAAAATCGGCTTCTGAAGGAAGGTTGTGGAATTCCCATCATTCGAGGTTTTATAACTAGTTGGACAAATATACGAGTGGGATGGTCTGTTCCTTTGTGCCACAGCACAGGCAGGTGGGTTATACAACCTCCCGATGTTCTTTCAAGCCCCACATTTCTTGCTTTTTATTAACATGAGGGTGAAATGCTACAAAAAATAGGTTTCGGGGCCTAGAATGGGGTACTTTCCTCTCTGAATCAGCACTGGTGCCGGTACCCATGAACAGCTCTGAGATACAATGTGCTCCAGGAAGCAGTATGCCTAACTCAGTAGATGATGCTATTTTCTTTGAGTCTACACTGCCCTCGATGGCCCTGTGTGGTGCTGGGAAGTGCTGGACAACAGGGGCCTTTTTGTCTCACAATAGAAAATGACTTCAGGAAGCTTCACCACTCAAACACTCAGTTCTCTATCTGTGTACAAATATGGACAGTGCTTTTCTGTGCCCCCAGGGTGTAGTGAAGGGCTCAGAAACTACAGTGATGCTGACAACATTAGAGCCTGACATAGACTTGGTACCCGAGTCCTGAAGGAAGCTCGCTCTGCTTCTCTCAATGAAGTGTTTGTTCTATGATTTGCATTGATCTCAATTGTCCGACAGCTAGCACTTTGAAGAAAGACTTAATTATTCTAATTATTTCCATGAAAAACAGAATGCACTGACCGTTTATTTACAGAGCATACAGATGGAGAAAGGATCATTACACATAATTTGTCTAGCAGATTGACTCCCGCCCATTCATTGTCTTTTGGTTGCTTTGATTGTGTCTATACAGAAGCATGTCATAGATTGGGGAATAATTTTGCTGTTCCCCGACTAAAAGCTTCTCTCAGGGCGAGTTTGACAGTCTTGTTTCTGAGGCTGTAGATAAAGGGGTTGAGGAAAGGGTACAGTACGGTGTTCAGCAGAGCCACCCCTTTGTTGACATCCGAGGAGGCACTTCCTGAAGGCCTGGCATACAAAACAATGCAGCTTCCATAGACAATTGCTAAAGCTGTGACATGGGAACCACAGGTTGAAAATGCTTTCTGTCTGCCTGTGGCTGTTGGCATTCGCAGAATAGAGAAGAAGATGGTTCCATAAGACAACATGGTTAAACATAATGAACTCAGGACTACAGTTGAGATCATAATGGAATCCACCTTTCTAACCCCACTGGTGTCAGCGCAGGAGAGTTGGAAAAGGGGTTTGTTGTCACAGAAGAAATGGTTGATCACGTTCGGCCCACAGAATCTCAGCTTCGAAATCAGGACCATACGTACACTGACAACTACAAAGCTTTCCACCCATGAACCAAGGACCAGTTGGACGCAGAATCTCTGATTCATGATGGTGGTGTATTGCAAAGGGCGGCAGATGGCAACATAGCGATCAAAGGACATGACCACTAGGAGGCAGAACTCTGTACAACCCAAGGCAAAATAGAAGAAGGTCTGGGCCATGCAGCCGTGGAATGAAATGGTTCTGCTGACTGACAGAACGTTCAGCATCAATTTAGGGCTCATGACCGAGGTGAACCAGATTTCCAAGAAAGACAAATTGGCGATGAAAAAATACATGGGAGAGTGGAGTCGGCGATCCACCCACACTATGAAAATGATGACCACGTTCCCTGTTACTGTGAACAGGTAGGTGAGGAGAAGAACAAGGAAGAGGAAAATTTGCAGTTTCTCACCAAGGCTGGAAAATCCCAGTAGGATGAATTCAGACACAGCCGTTTCATTTCTTTCCTTCATGTCCAACATCAGCCTTGTCTGCAGAAAAAGTAACAGTGAAATAATAGCATGCCATTTTCACAGATTCTTGGATATTAAAACTAGATGGAAGCTTGTAATCTTCTGACTCTGTCCATAGCATATGACATAGGATTTTACCTAATCACTCTTCCGTTAATCTCCTATCTTGTTGACACAAGCTGCTCCTCTCTGGGAACACACTGTTTTTCAACATCAGCATCCCAGATTTGGTGCTACAGCTCTTGTACACCTCTGCTGTTCCTCTCCTGGCATTTTCAGGTAAATAAAGGATGTGGTTTTTTTCATAATTCTATTTCAAGTGCCGTGCAGGTCATTTTAAATCCCCTTGACAAACTGTGTCTCTGAGTTCTGTGTTTGAAAAACCGGTAATCTTGTATTTAGCCTGACCAAACATCAATATAGACATAGAATTCGGTCACCTTCTAGTTTCATGCCACTAATAAATCCAGATTTTATCAGAGTCTGGCAGCGATTCCCTTCCTGATCAGGGTTCAGCTCCCTGAATAATCTCTTTGATCCAGTTCCCTCTGTTCTCTAGAGACAACCGATGACCCTTTAAATAAATTAACAAAAAATCCAAATCAGCCATCCAGGAGCCCAAGCCTGTGAGTCTGAGCATGCAGCCGTATAGATTCTTTTGGAGATTGTTTTTTACAACATACTCATCATAGTGGGTTCTTCTGGCCCTGGGATCTATGGTCATCTAGTCTGACCTCCTGTATAACTTCAGCCATTTAACTTCCCCAAAATAATGCCTTTGGAATTAGAGCCCATCTATTAGATAAACACCTAATCTTGATTTAAATATTAACAGCGCTGGAATATCCACCAACACACTTCTTCAGATGGTTAATTCCCCTCACTAGACAAACATGTGTACCTCAATTCCACTCTGAATTTCTCTAGCTTTGACTTCCAGTCATCTATCCTTGTTATAGCTTTTCCTGCTACACTGAAATATTTGTTCTCCATGTAGATACTTACAGACTAGGATCAAGTTACCCTTTAAGTTTCTCTCTGTTCAGCTGAGAATTTTGTGCTCCTTAAGTGTAACACTCTAAGGAATGACAAAGAGTCCTGTGGCACCTTATAGAAGGAATGCTTCCCAAATCTTCAATCATTCTTGTGGTTCATCTCGGAATCTTTTCTACAATAATCTAAATAGACTCAACTTCACTGCTATCTTCTATTGCTCCACCATTACAGCTACCTTTCAAAAACTTTCCTTGTACCCCTTTTCTACAGCAGTGACATAACTAATGCAGTAGCTAAAAACCCATTTGAATAAGCCCTATAGACTCAAAGTGTTGTATCTATTTACCTTCAGAAAGAGAAGTGTAAGGGGTGACTTGGCTAGAGTCTAAAGTACGAAGTGGGAAGCAAGTGGGCTCTTCCCTCTGGCAGAGAAACGCATAAGATGGTCCATTGGATGGAAGTTGAAACAAGACACATTCACTCTGGAAATAAGTTGGACATTTTGAAGAGGGAGGATAATTAACAATTGGAACAACTTGCCAAGGGTTATGGTGGAGTCTCCATCGCTGACCATTTTTAAATCAAGATTGAATGTTTTTATCTCAAAGATCTGCTCAAGGGAATTTTACCAGGAATCTCTATGGCCTGTGTTATAAAGGAGACCAGCCTAGATGATCACAATGTTCTAGCCTATTAATCTATGAATTATGAACCATGGGACAAGCATAGGGATAGCCATACCATAGTTTCATATCTTTGCCTTTCCAGCCTGGCTGAGCAATGGATGCTGTCTTTTAGAAAAGCAAAAGAAAACACCTCTGTCTTTCTCTGAAAATCTCTGTCTCTCTGTCTCTGTTGCTCTCTCAGAATTTCTCCTTCTCTGTGCATCTGGAGAAAGTCTTTGCCTTCATCCACTCTATAAATAACATTTTGTAAGTGTGATGTTTTCATCTGAAGCCTTGCAACACCAGTGGGAAATTGCCAGACGCAAGAAATCTCCTAGGACAATCTGAGTTGCATGATCAAATTGAACACAAAAATGATCAACTTTAACTCTAAGATTTTTAAGAAGACTAAGGCAGTTGGATGCAGAGTTCCCATGATCTTTCGATGGGATTTAGGTGCTCACATCCCATAGTATCAGAGGGGTAGCCGTGTTAGTAGTCTGAATCTGTAAAAAGCAAAGGGATCTTTGAAAATCCTACAATAAACTGTAAAGGCATAATTGGGTGATTAATTCAGCTTTTCTGAATTTCCCAACTTTTCATTTTTTTCATGATTATTTCCATCAAAGTTTGGAATCATGCTGTGAAAGGAAACTGAAAAATATTATTCTTAAACATGCATGAAGTTCTTTGCCCTTTTTGAAAACCTTTCTATTGATCATATTCTAAAACAGGGATCGGCAACCTTTGGCACATGTCCCACCAGGGTAAGCACCCTGTCGGGCCGGGCCAGTTTATTTACCTGCCGCATCTGCAGGTTCGGCTGATCGCGGTTCCCACTGGCCGCGGTTTGCCGCTCCAGGCCAATGAGGGCTGCGGGAAATGGCGCGGGACGAGGGATGTGCTAGGATTATTTTCACTGACTTTTATAATGGAGTAGAAAGTGTATCTATAAAATTTGCAGATGACACCAAGCTTTGATGTTTTGCAAGTACTTCAGGGGACAGGATTAGAATTCAAAACGACCTTGACAAATGAGAAAATTGGTCTGAATTCAACAATATGAAATTCAGTGAAGACTAGTGCGAAGTACTTCAGTTAGGAAGGAAAAATCAAATGCACAACTACAAAATGAGGAGTGACTGGCTGGTGGTAGAAGTGCTGAAAAGTATCTGGGGCTAATAGTGAATCACAAACTGAATATGAGTCAATAATGTGATGCAGTTGTTACAAAGGATCAGAGCCGGCTCTAGCTTTTTTGCTGCCCCAAGCAGCAAAAAAAGCGCCGCCCCCCAGGTCCCCCGCCGAGCGCCGGGCTGCGCCGCCCCCCCCAG